CATTGGATCACGATATAATTGAGTTTTTGTGAAATTAATACGACCAATTACGGCATTGCGCTCACACCACTACTAGTAACTTTAATGCTTATGTTTTACATTGCTACAGTAGTATAAAAAGAAATAACTTAGTATATATATAATATCTTTACAATTGTAGATTAAATAATATATATATATATATATATATAATATAGTTTAGATTAAATTAATTAAATTAGAAAAATAAGATTTAATTAATTTTAATTTTTGAATCAAATAGGAAAATAAGCTGGTTTTAAAAGATCTCATTACAGCATTACTACTATTACCCGAGTCGGTTGATCCGTGGGTCGAAAATTGCTCTAACCCGGGTCAAACGGGTCAGAATTTAAAGTAGGCAAAAACCTATTAAACCACCATATTATAGTACATAATTTACTATATAGGTAGAAGACATTGTAGTTTATAAACAGTAAAGCAGCTTCTTGAGGTGCAGAAAATGGGCGAACTCAAATCACGGATTTAAATAATTGGATCTCTATACTAACAGCTATCGTTGCATCAACTTTAGGATTAACTTTATGAATTTCCATTTGACTCGTTGACCCAGGTTATAACCCGGGTCAGTATTTTCTGACCAGGGTAAAAGCTCCAGATCTCATTTATGGTTTGAAATTCAGAAATCACTAAATAGGAGCATACGGATAGGGACATATTTCTGGTTTAAATTCCGAATCAGAAAATTAAATAGACGTAGCCAGTGATAAAATTAGCTTTCTTTTGATAAATACTTACCAGTAAGCGATTATGTAAATAGATATATATACTTTAAAAAAAGTAGGATCTGTACGTCACTTAATTTATCTGAAATCGGACGCCGAATCATTAATTCTGAAATAAATACGTCACTTATTTTATTATTTTTGAAACATTATAGGTTTAATTTACTTTATTCATAGTTATAATCAAGTATATATTTAAAAAAAATATGCTAAACCATCATTCTGAGGATTTTAACCATTTATCAAAAAGATATATTTAATTTATCGCCATTGGCATTATCTTGATAACTTTTGGGCAGACAGGTTTTAAAAGATGCCCAAAGAGCCATTAAATGAAAAAATTTTCACATTAAAATATTTTAGAAAAAGTACCGTAAATGGCCGGATACAAGACCCGGGTCTGTTACATTTCACCAATTTTTAAATCCTATAATTAGTATAATTAGACCCGCGGGTCTCTTGCATGGATGTGGGTCTGATAATTGAAGGGTTTATTCTATTTTCATTATATTTTCATAGCTTTTTTCCTATTTGTATACCCCGGGTCTTTACATTTTACCAAAACTTTATCCTTTACGGCACTGTGTTTTTGATATTAGTACTCATTTCAGGTGCCTTTAATGGAAGTAGATTTAATTTGTTGCTGGTAAAGGTATAGCAGTTATGAAGAAGAAAAGTGGCTATACCTTTATACAAATAAAAAATCTACATATTCGGGAAAGGATAATCAATGAAAAAAAAAGCCTTAAATACAATGACTAAAGAACAGCATAAAAAATTTTTGCACTGCTAAAAAAACAGAAAAGGTAAGTAATAAAATTTTGAAATATTTTGTACAATATTTATGTGATCGACTAAGCTAATCTACTTAAAATCTTAAGAGATTATAATAAAGAAATGTATGTACTACTAAATAAAAAAAGCGCAAAACTAATCATACTTTACAATCTAATAATATTGACTTAAGGTTTCATAGTTAGCTGGTAGAAGATTTTGAATATTTCTAAAGAGAAAATTGAATTTATCGAAGCTAAAGGATTGGATCAAAAAAGGAGACCCTCTATGATGACAGGGATGACAGGGAATTGATCACGAAAGTGTTGTTCACATCTTACCTTCGGACCTTTCCAATTTCACATCGACACAGAAGTTTCTATAACTATATGTTTACCATAATAAAGTAAATCCTCATTATGCGAAATGTAATCTGTTATTTTCGATTTATTAATTTAAAATTTCAAGAAAAGAAGTACAGTATAAAGAATTGCTTCAATAGTTTCATTAATATAACATTGATGATTTATGTTTAAACATTGAATCAAAATTAAAAAAATTGGATCAATAAACCCTTTACGATGATGATAAGGAATTGGTTACAAAAGTGTTATTTCGCTTTTACTTTCAGACATTCCAAATTGCAATATTGACACGGTGATTCTTATAGCTGGCGCAAATTTACTTAATTGCGGCACATGGTACGTATTGTTGTGCTTACGATATATAAGTCATATAAGTAGTGATGTGAGTTGGTAGCTACCGGTAGCTATCTACCACTGGTAACTACCGGTAGCTACCGTGAGGTTAATGATAGATGGTAGGTAGATGGTTAGCAGTTTATTAAATCTGATTGGTTGATTACGGCTTGCACTATATATATAGGTAGCTATACTACTGGTGCTAACGGTAACTACCACCTACCGGTATATACCGGTAGAGAAATTGTGATTTGGGAAAGTTTACATAAGGCATATCAGAAGTATTAAGACGTATAGGAAGGAGAATAGATATAGTGTATATAGGGAAGATAATAATACAATAAAGACGTACTACAAATATTGCTTCTTACAAATTAACTACAGATCGCTAATAAAAAATAAAAAAAAAAGGTGATAATCTTTTATGATCGGACTCTGTAGACTTAGTAATGAAGTGTTGACTGCATAATTTAAACTTCATAACCTATTTATCGTAACTCGTCGTGATTTCTGATTAAATTAGATTTCTTTTTTTTAAAAAGATTCTTTTTTAAAATATTTTTCGTTTATGAACGAAATAAAAGATCCTTTCTATTTTTTCTTTTCTTCAAAAAATGGCGAAAAAATTTTTTTCTCAATTATCCCACGATCTAATGAAATTACTTTCGGATACGAAATTTTGTGACGTAACCATTGTAGTTGGTAAAGCTCCTGACATCAAAAGTTTCCGAGCCCATTCATCAATTTTATATTATCGATCCCCTTATTTTCGACGAGAGTTATCCGATCCAAGTTTTAATTGTGTGTCAAAAAAATTCAAATTTAATATTTCTGTTGAAGTTTTTGAAACTTTACTCATGTATGTTAAAATTTGATAACTTTACGTAATTCCAATGGATGTTTAACTTATCATATTTGTAATTTAAATAAGGTACATCTATAATGGAACTATAATGTTGGAAGACAAAAGTGGTCCTGAAATTTTTCGAATTCTGTTAGCCACTGAAAAGCTTGGCCTTTACGAAATTATCACGTATCTTCAACAATTCTTACTAGAACATCATATTGATTGGTTAAAACGTCACATCGAAACCGTAAACCGTGCGAGTTTTCGAAACGATCATTTTCAAGTTCTTCAACAGTTTTGTACCACAAATGACCCTGGAAAAGTACTGAACAATATTAATTTCGATTCTATTTCGGAAAATGCTATAATATCTTTACTTAAACGAGATCACTTTGGAACGGATGAAGTTCAAATGTGGGACAATGTATGATAATAATATATATATAAATATTTAATTTTTTTTTCTTTTCTGAGTGAACCATTATTCAAAACTTTTGACCATAGGTTCTTAAATGGGGATTGACACAGAATCCAACGTTGTTAACTATGGATCCAACAAAATGGACAGCCAATGATTTCAAAACTTTACGGGTATCACTTCAACAATTCCTTCCATTAATTGGATTTCATGAAATGACAAGTCAACAATTCTTTGAAAAAGTGAGCCCATTTAGTAAAATATTTGAACCACGAATTTATGAAGAGTTAGTTCAATACTTTATGTTGTCAGATGAAAACGTTTCGAATATGAATATACCTGACTTGTCACCTAATATAAAGCTGAACTCAATGGTTACGTATGTTGATTCCTGTATTCTTTCTACAAAACATGCTGCATTGATTGCTATTTGGATCCGACAAGTTGAGCAAACTATTACACCTAGCAGTCCTATTCATCAAGAAACTACTAAAATTCCTTATAATTTTAAATTATTACTTCGTGGATCGCGTGATGGATTTTCACCATCGACTTTTCACAAATTATGTGACAACGTACCAAATACGGTTGTAATTATGCAAATTAAAGATACAAAAGAATTGATTGGTGGATACAATCCAATCAAGTGGAAATCCACTAAAGGATGGGGGCAAACGTCAAGTAGTTTTATTTTTTCATTGGGTGATGATGATATGAAAAATGCTGTTTTGAGTCGCGTGAAAAGAAGAAATAGTGCATTAAATTACGAGGTAAAAAAAAAGTAAAATTTGTTAATACCAGTGCACATACAATATATATCAGGTATATATTTTTTTAACCATCTATTAAATATTGCAGGAATATCTTGGGCCATCATTCGGTTTTGATGATATTACGATCAATGGCGAAAATTACAGAGAAGAGATGAAATGTTATTCAGGAAATAATAGTTATGAAAGACCAATTCGATCTGAAGGATACTTTTCAGTTGATGAATATGAAATTTTTCAGGTTTCTGAGGTTTGATTATTTAAGTATTCGCTTTGCGTCATCTCATATGTACTGTAAATGTACAATCAATTGGTTTACATATAAATATTAAAGGTATAATATCCATTTGGAGTTCTCTTAGCAAATAGAATCAAAATTTTATTCGAAATTTTTATTTATTTTTATAAATTAATCTTACTATGATTCAAGAAATAAGGCTGCATCACTAACAGTGTACGAAATTCAAGTTCTCAAATGATCTCTTACGATCAACATACGTTCTCTATTGAGAACAATAAACAATACCGGTAAATGTCGCGGCTGATGATCTCGATTTGAAAATATAAGTCCTGCTAAAATCCATATATATTCTTTAATTATCAATTCTAACGCTAAACTCCTAACCCAACCCAACCCAACTCTAAAAAAAAACCACCGAAAAAATATTTAAAATTATATCAAACTAGCGTCTGAGCAAGCACGTCCTTACGTTCATTAACAAACACACATAAAGAACCTTTTTCTTAAACTTATAAGTTCGGTATAGGATATATAGAAATCTTTATTTGTTTATTATGAATTCATTATCTATCGGGTTACAGTAGTGCTTCGAAATGACCAATCAAGATCATGATTCTTAATAGTAAGATAGTTTAATAATTAGCTGGTAATAAATCGATTAGTACAATTTGGAATACTAATACTAGTTACTAGATTCGAGATATGCAAAAAGCATAGCAACACAATTTTTTAAAAACTGCAAAGCATACCAACTACAGAACCATTTTAGAAAGTAAAGTAATATATTGCAAAATAATATCTAAAAAATTTATTGAAGCTATAATTGTAGTTAAATTTGTATAGTAGTTAAGCAATAAATATAAAAAAATTAGAGTACACAGTATATTAAATTGAAAGAATTTAGTAAAATATTACAAAAAGTAGATAAAAATAGGAAATTGCTATTTCCATCCTTATTTTTGCTAATGCCACCTTCCAGATATCAAAAATTGCTTCAAATACAGTCAAACCTCCATAAATGCAACCTCCATAAATGCAATACCTCTCTAAATGCACGTTCCTGGCCTGGCTGTAAAAAATCATTAGTGCTAAATGCACGTTCACTCAAAAGATTTCTATATCATACTAACCTCCCTAAATGCACGTAGCTAATCAGAATTCAGTATTCAAGTTGTGTTATACAAGCCTGCAGATCAAACATTAAAAGCTGCAATTTGATTGGCTTTC